AAAAAAAAAAAAAAAAAAAAAAAAAAAATCAAAGAAAAGAACTTCAATTTCCTTATCAGAATGCAAATAACAATAAGAGGAAGTTGGTCCAAGAGGAAGAAGAAAAAACTGTCTCCACTTGAGTACTAGACAGAAAATCTGACTTTAAGGAACAGTCACATAAGAAGGCAGTGAGAAAGGCTGGCCAGGACGGCCCCTCTCCACTGACATCCAAGAGATCCTCTCTGCTACCCTTATTCATTTCACTGTCTTCTTAATCCCTCCCCCCTCCCACTGGAAACTAAGAGCCAGGGACCCAGGAAGTACCAGAAGAAGGGAAGAAGAGCATTACATGAAGGAGGCAGATCTAGAGATTATATTTGAGATTCTCATTTCCACCTTTTCCAGAGAAATCTCATCCCAAGAAGTTCAGTGGCTCTGTTGGGGTTGCAAGACTGCAATACCCAAGGTATCGAATGGATCCTCTAGAGGAATGAAGCACCTTTACCCACCCCTCATTCCAGCTGAAACCCCAGAGGAGAAAGCTATTTCTTGCAGAAGGCTCCGAAATAGGAAAGTCCCCTACTTACCAGAAGAGGATCCGTAAAATATTGGCCACCAGTAGCACCAGACACACGTGAGTGGAGAAACCGTCTGCATTCTGAGTCCTCCGGATATCCCTGTACTGCGGGATGTACGGCACCACCCCTCCAAAGACTATGGCCCCAGAAGCCCCCCAGGAAACCAGCTGGTGCAGCGGGACCAGAAGCCAACCCAAGCCTTCCGCTTCCATGCCGAGCTCCGGGCCACCCTGCCGGCTGGCTGACGTCCACCTGGCCCGAGCCCCTGCGAGCTCACTGGTTCCAGATCCTGACGCTGACGGTCACCTCCACATTGCGGCCGCTATTCTAAACAATCCTCCGGCGTCTGGCCCTGGCAAGTGAAAACAACAGTAAAGAAGTCCTGGTAGAATGCTGGCCCGCGCGACACGGCCTGGGAAAGACAGTGAGAGCAGTGCTCCGAAACCTAGAGGCCGAGGCCGACCTCCTCCTGGGACCGAGCGCCCAGCCTTCGGCTTGGGCAGCCCAGAAGGGGGAAGCAGGGTGCACAGTGCCGGCTGGGAGAGTGGGAGGAGGGCGACGCCCGAGGGCTGGAGGAGGCGGAAGGCCGGCGATAGGGTGGCGCGACACGGCCTGGGAAAGACAGTGAGAGCAGTGCTCCGAAACCTAGAGGCCGAGGCCGACCTCCTCCTGGGACCGAGCGCCCAGCCTTCGGCTTGGGCAGCCCAGAAGGGGGAAGCAGGGTGCACAGTGCCGGCTGGGAGAGTGGGAGGAGGGCGACGCCCGAGGGCTGGAGGAGGCGGAAGGCCGGCGATAGGGTGTGAAAAAAAAAGCTCCCGCTCCCCAACCGCGTGTAGCTGCTCCTTACCGAAGCTCTTGTCGCTAACGTCCCCGTGTCCGTGCGTCAGTCCACACGCGGGAACCCCGCCCCTGGTGACGTCACAATAGGTGGCCCCTCCCACTCGGGCGCGCTGGGTCTTAGAGAGCCGCTGGGAGGGGGGAGGTGAGGTGTCCCGACCAAGAACGCCAGGAGAAAGGGAGGAAGGTGGGACGGTGGTGCTGGGTCCTGCCTGGGCGGCCGGGATTGGGAAATACCTACCTGCCGCCACTCTTTTTCCGCCCAGGTGCTCAAGTGGATCCGTCAGCAGCAGCCTGGACGCTCGAAGAGCAGTGTAGACGGCGAGTGGCCACCAAAAGCAGAGGACTTAGACCTAGGGTGACTGAAGGGAGCATTATCGCCACAACCAGCCCCGGGCCTGGGACGCCACCCTCGGGGTGACCCAGGAGGCTCCTGCCTCGGAGAATGTCGCCCGGGGGCCCTAGGGGTTCTTGCACGCCTTTCTGAATGAGCTGGTGTGGGCTGATGTCCCAGGCCCAGATCCGAAGTTCACAGGTCTGGAGGCCGCTGAGCTCTGGAGGAATCCGACTGGTCCAGGCGGGGTAGGAAGTCACCCCTCCAGGGAGCAGACCCTCGCTGGCGTGTGTCTTCGTTCCAAAGCCAATGCCCAAGAGCTGCTGCCGTCGAGGTCAGTGTTCAGCAGACACATTTATTGACCGCCGCTGGACTATGCCCGGACTGGCATCAGAGCAACACAATTTGATGAGCCTCTTCTCCACCCTTTGGTTATGTGAGGTCAATCGAAGAGTGTGCATTTACAGATGAACGGAGGAATTCCTATCACCTGACTCTGGTTGCCTGGGAACACTGCAGTCAGAAGAGCCAGCAGCCCAGAGCTTCATTCACTTCCATCGGAGCAAGGACTCTGGTCTCCGCAGAGGATAATGTGCCCTTGGTGCCATCTCTGGGCAGCCTCAGCCTCGGCTCCCTCAACCCATACATTGCTTCTAAAGCTTCCCTGTGAACATCGAGATGTGAGAAATTACTCACCTGAAAAAGAATAAACTTTGCTTTTTCCCCTTTCTTTTCTTTTCCAATCAGTTCTAGAACATAGAAAGGGGCTGGGACATGCTTGGAGTCACCTGCAAATGCAGCATCATCATGCTCGAGGTGCCTCAGTTAGGCACAATAATTCCGTTTCTGTAACATCTTTGAAGTGCCAACCTTTAAAAATGGTGAAAACATCAGTGGTTGCCAAGGGTTCATACTGAAGACAGTGTGGGAGGGAGATGGTTGGGCTATAAAGGACAACACCAGGGTCCTTAAAGTGATAGAATATTCTGTTCTGTATCTTGGCTGTGATGATGACTGTACAAGCCTACACGTGTGAGAAAATTATACCGACCTAAACACAAGTGCAAGAAAACCAGGCAGTATGAACAAGATGGGTGATGGCATAGAAGTCATGTCCTTGTCATGCAGTCCTAGAATTCCGCAAAATACTGTGGGGTAAACTTGCTGAGGGGCACATAGTATCTACTTTTTCTTGGGGGGGGGTCAACTTTTTTTTTTAGTAACTGCATGTGAATCTACAGTTACCTCAAAACCACAAAAAAACTTGCCGGGTGTGGTGGCGCATGCCTGTAATCCCAGCACTCAGGAGGCTGAAACAGGAGGATTGCTATGGGTTTGAGACCAGCCTGGGCTACATAGCAAGCTCCAGGTCAGTCTCAACTACATAGTGAGACCCTGTCTCAAAAAAAAAAAAAAAAAAAAAAAAAAACCACACACACATACACAAACTTAAGTAGCATAGTACCAAACTACCATCCCACAGTGGAGAGACCTGGCAGTAGGGCAGGCTTCATGTACTACAAAGGCCCTGCTGAGAAGCAGCCATAACCCATGTAAGGTTGAGTTGTTAGTCTCTGAAGTTCTTCATAACTTCTATTCACAAGCTCATCTGAGAATAAAATAGTGACTATCACATCTTGTTGGGTTTACACATCCACATAGACAATTTACCACAAGGAGTCAGACCTAGCTTCATGGATTTATACAGAACATTATAAATCCATCAGCAAAAGCTTTAAGTACCACAAACCATACCTAGATGTGTAAACTCCTATACGTGCATATATGTGGCACATACACCCCAATTAAGAAATCTGCAGTCTTTCATGAAGGTTACCTCAGTGTTCAACACAGTCCTCACCTCCTCTTTATAGGGAAAGAGAGGTCAGTCTCCACCTGCTAATTTAGCAAATATTTAAGTAACCACCATGTGCCAGGCATTGTGCAAGATAGGTTATGAGTTTTCCATATCAATATTGAAGTCTGAAACCCAGCACAATGCCGGGTATGAGGTAATAGAGACAGATGAACGCTGGCAGCCAAGAAAACCTACACATTCACACCACTCTGAATCCCAGAACACACAGGTAAAACTACATCCCAGGGCTAGAGTGTAACTCAGTGAGAGCATTTGCGTAGCACACATGGGCTCTGGGTTTGGTTTCCAGCACCACAAAATACGCAAAGGCCAAAATACAGAATACAAAAAAGGCAAAAATTAGTAAAATATGGTTTCTGTTCTCTGAGTTAATCTTGCATGGGATAAAGTCACACACAAAAATAATGCTGCATCTTCTATACGGAATAAACCTTGTGCTGTCTACTGATCTTGGGACTCAGGTCATCAGCCAGTTTCTTTTTTTTTTTTTTTTTTTTTTTTTTTAAATAGGGGCTTAATGTAGTTGAGACTGACCTGGAGCTCGCTATGTAGCCCAGCCTGGTCTCGAACTCACAGTGAACCTCCTGCCTCAGCCTCCCGAGTGCTGGGATTGCAGGCGTGCGCCACCACACCCCGCTTCAGCCAGTTTCTGAGAAAGACCTGAAAAGCAGACCTTTTTCTTCTAAACCCTGTGGCCTTTCATGGTAGCTAAAACGTTCTGCATGCCAACAAGGGGCTCCTAAACTCAGGTATTTTCCCCAACAGGTAGGAAATGAGAACATTCACCTAGGGAGCTTGGCTCTATTATTGGAGGATCTAGGGATCAGGTTCAGAACTGTGAGGCATCCAGATAACTCCCAGATACTAGGAAATGGAGAGAAGACAGGCCCATGTTGAGCCCTGAGGTGGGATCAACTGTGTACTCCAGAATCCATGTGCAGTGGAGCTATCTAGAATGTGAATGGGACTTTATTTAGAAGTAGGGTCTTGCAGATGTAATTAGCATAGTTAAAATAAGGTCATACAGAGCCGGGGATTTAGCTCAGCGGTTCAGTGGCCTACTTCCCAAGCGCAAGGACCCGAGTTCGATCTCCGGTACCAAAAAAAAAAAAAAAAAAAAAAAAAAAAAACCTAAGAGAGTCACTAGTGTAGAAAGACTGCGACATAACACAAGGACAGGAGAGAGGGGATGCTCAGAACCCCCAAGAGGTAGAGGCAGGAAGAAACCTCCATTAGAGTGATGGAGGGAGTACAGCTCTGGCCACAGCTTTTCCTTGGACTTCTGGCCTCCAGAACTGTGCAACAAGTTTCTGTCATTTTAAACCACCCACTTACAGCAGCCCAGAAAATTCCCTCAAGCCTCTTAATAGCTGTTCCTTACCCCTGTGGAGAGCAGCACTTTTTTGCCCTGGAGTTTGGATGAGCACTTCTCCAGGGTAAGGTTTGCAGGTGCTGGCAGCAGTACCTGGCCCTGTGTGGAATGCAGGTCCCCAGGCCATGCCCTGGACTTGCTGACTCTCACCCTTCCAGATTGGGAGCTGAATTTGACAAGCCTCAGGTAGTTGTTAGGTCCACACAAATTTGAGAAGCTTAGTCTCAAGAGACATTAAGGGTCTATCTCACCCTGTGGAGAGGAGGAAATTTACAGCAGACAGCATATGAATGATTACAAGTAGGTAGAGACTTGGGAAGTCTATAGATTTCCTGTTAAAACAATAAATGCCCTGGAGGCAGTATAGGAGAATGTTACCAGGTATGTACAGATCACATGCACAAAAACCAGGTGTTTGTTTATTTTTTTCAGAGCAAAACACTTGCTACATTGGTACATTTTAGATGGACGTAATGATAACATTCATCATAGGGCAGGTGTTTGTTTAATCAACAGCCACACCCCTTACTGTGAGGTGGGTGGGTGGTTCATTCTAATACCTGGTCAGGAGCTGGTGGAGCACGCCTGTAATCCCAGCACTCAGAAGGCTGAGGCAGGAGGATCACTGTGAGTTCAAGACCAGCCTAGGATACATAGTGAGTTCAGGTCAGTCTAAACTACATAGTGAGATCCTGTCTCAAAAAAACCAAAAAAAAAAAAAAAAAAAAAAAAAAAAAAAAAAAAAAAACCTGGTCAGCTAGCAGAAGGTTCCATCCCTGGAATCCCAAACTGGCTGGAGGCCTGTGTTTTCAGAGCATCCATGAACATTTTGGGGATCACAAAATAGTTTGGGAAACAGAGCTCCATGCAGAATATACATTTATAATTTTACCAAAGTGGGACATAATAGACATGCATCCTAGACATCTTCCTATGTCAGAAATCACGGTGAACATGATAGACAATCTCCATTTACATGCAGAGTCTATTGGTGTTAGTTGTGAGGATGTTGCATCAGCTAAGTGATATGTATTTGTTTATATCTATTTGTTTATAAATTTGTTTTGTCTGGGTCTGCAGTACTGGGTATTGAACCTAGGACCTTGCACTGAGCTACATCCCCTACCTTTTTGTTTTTTTTATTTTGAAGCAGAGCCTTATTAAATTGCTAAAATGTCCAGGCTGGGCTTGAATTTGCAACTCTCCTGCTTTAACCTCCCAATGTGTTGTGATTACAGATGACACCCAGTTTAATGCCACTTTTATTATCTTTTTGTAAGACTTGAATAGGCTAAAGTGACTCCATGCTAATTATCCAGACTGTGCTTCTTCATATGCTAATTGCTACCTTGGTTAACAGCCCGCCCAGGGGCAAATGGTTTGACAAAAGGTGACCCTAGAACATTTCCTGCATAAGATAAGCAATGTGTTTGCAGTCTTGTTCTGTGAATTCCCTGACTCTTTGTTTAGAAAAACCTTATAAAAAGTACCTCAGCCCCTGAGCAGTTGCCTCTCTGAGCCACCTGGCTCCGGGAGTGCCGTCTGGCCAGACTAATAAAGGTCTCTTTTACCATCTAGCCTGGTGTGTTCCTTCCTGGGTTTCTTGTTTCTCCATCAAGCTCCCGGAGCCTCGCTGAGTGTTAGGGCCCAGCATCGTGGAGGCCTTTTTGGCTGTTCACGCTCCATGGAGTGGAAGTGAGACTTTAGGTCTTACATTTTAAATAAATTACAGCCTTAAATTCTGAGACCAAGCATTACTTACATTTTATGTTTTCATAGTTTCACATTACATTTAGCATCTTAGATTCAATAGTTCACTGCTCCCCCCAGGCCTGAGTGAGCCATCAGATTATGCGCACATTTTTTAAATGCCCTACCCAATTTATGTTAGCTATGCTTCACTTTTTAAAGTATATTCAAGAGTGGATTATGATTCAATTTAAATAAATCCTATTTCACATCCTAAACAAATCACAGTAGCATACTGGACTGTCCAAAGATGAAACACTGAAGACCCTTGGTCCTTTCAGCTTGTTGGGAGATTTAAATTTGTCCCCCTTTCTTGTTCTCCTAAATCCTTTTTTCATTTCAAAGCTTTAGGCCAAGTAGCAGCACATCTAAACCCCAGCGGGCTTTAAAACAGGAATGCCAAATACCTGTCCCCTGCCATGTTAAGGGTGTGGTGGAAGTGTAAGATCCTCCCAGGGAGGAATCCCACCACTCTAAGGGACACCACGATGCACCATGAACACCTCGGAGAGACGATTCTTGATGCAAAACACAAGAGGTCTTTATTCCAGCGAGCTGGGGCTCAGCTCATAACCCTCGCAGGGGCAGAGGAGTTGAGCCCCGAAGCAGGGTAGAGACACAGCTTTTAAAGGAAAAAAACCCACAAGCTATATAGGGTAGGGGGAATTCCAAGAAAGGGGTCAATTATGGGAACATTCAGTTACAAAGGGTGGGGACTTCGGGGAAGTGGGACCATGGATTGTTCAAAGGGGTAGGGTCTGTTCAGCACCAGACGTTTATCTTGGTTCCTGCCTCTCAGGAATGTTTAAAGCGACCTTTTGACCTGTCATGGTTAGCTGACTCTGCTAGAGGTTGGGCTCTTAGAGCTTCTTAATACTTTTCCTAACAATCCTCCCTTTTTCTTTTTGCACATGTTCTAATCTTAGAACCCTTAATGTCTAGTTTATTCATGTCCCACACCTAAGGCTTGGGTTCTTAGAGGCTGGTATTGTTGTCTTAACATTAGTACTTGTACTGCACTGACTCTTTCTCTGATGAAGGCAACTAATCTATTCAGAACACAGGGCCCCACGGTTAGAAGTAATAAAAGGATAAGGGGTCCCAATAAGGTGGACACCAAAGTGGTGATCCAAGGGGATTTGGGGAACTACTCAGAAGGGGGTGGATTAGGGTCAGGAGTCCGTACAACCTTAAATTTGAAGGGGTTAGAAGTCTTTTCCAGTCTCCATTCTGGGGCCGGTGGGGGGGGGCCGGTTTGACATGGGAAGCATGGATCCAAGCTGATATTCCATCGACTTTGACGGTGGTGGGAGTGGTCAGCAATACCGGGAAAGGTCCCTTCCAACGAGGCTCTAGGTTGCCTGCCCAATGATGGCGGATGTAGACGGAGTCCCCGACTTGAAATTGATGAGGAACTTGGAGGTCTCCTGGAGCATAAGCTTCTCTCAGGTGTTGCCACACTTCGCGCTGGACAGTTTCAAGGGCTTTTAATCTACCATAAAGAGGTTTAGAAGAGACAACATTTGGATCTGTCAAGTTACCAACTCCTATTAAAGGACGAGGGGCTCCATAAAGCAATTCAAAAGGGGTTAAACCAAATTTTCCCAGAGTATTCCGTACTCGGAACAAAGCAAGGGGTAGGAGGACCGTCCAGTCTATAATGCCAGTCTCTAAGGACAATTTGGTCAAGGTCTCTTTTAATGATCTATTCATCCTCTCTACTTGACCTGAACTTTGGGATCTATAAGCACAGTGCAATTTCCAATTAAACCCCAGGACCTTGGCTAGTCCCTGACTTACCTGGGCAATAAATGCTGGTCCATTGTCTGAACCAATTACCTTAGGGATGCCAAACCTTGGGAAGATCTCTTCGAGTATCTTCTCTGTCACAATAGTAGCAGTTTCTGTTTTCGTGGGGTAGGCCTCTACCCATCCTGAAAAAGTATCTATGAAAACTAGAAGGTATTTATTATTATATTTAGCAGGCTTTATTTCAGTGAAGTCGACTTCCCAATAGCTGCCAGGCCTGTCCCCTCGCAATCTTTTTCCCAGGGGATGCCTAGAAGGATAGGCATTTACCAGCTGGCAGCGTATACATTGATGGATGTTTTCATCAACTAGCTCAGATAGATTATAAATATAATATGGGGAAGTCTGAACTATCTTCTTTAGATGTTTGGCCCCTAAGTGAGTGAGCCCATGTAGTTGTTGAAGATAAGTTTTGGCCTCTTCCATTGGTAGGACGGTCTTTCCATTGGGCAGGACATAAGTCCCGTCTGGCTGAGGTTCTGAGAGTCCTAAGTCATTTATCCCCTGTAAGTCTTTCTCAGAATAGGTGAACTTGGTAGTTGCAGTCCCTAGGTCTTCCTGTAGAGGGAGGATATTAATGCCTTGAGCGGCTCTTTTTGCCTGTATATCTGCCTGTTGGTTTCCGATGGCAACAGGATTGGTTTCTCTTTGGTGTCCCGGGCAATGGATAATTGCCACTTTTCTTGGCAAATGTATGGCTTCTAAGAGGTCCAGTATTTCCTTTTTATTTTTTATTTCTTTTCCAGCCGAAGTTAAGAGTCCCCTTTGTTTATATATGGCTCCATGTATATGCGCCGTGGCAAATGCATATCGGTTGTCAGTATAGATGTTGATATCTTTCTTTTCTGACAATCGGAGGGCCTGGGTAAGGGCGATTAGTTCTGCCCTTTGGGCTGAAGTCCCTTCAGGTAGACTACTGGCCCAGATCACTGAAGTGCCATCTACCACTGCCGCTCCCACTACCTGCTTACCTTCCACGATGTAGCTGCTTCCATCAGTGAACCATGTGAGAGCTCCAGGCCAGGGTTGGTCAGTCAAGTCTTTCCTGGACCCAGCCTCTTCAGCCAAGATCTCGTGGCATTGATGTATCACCCGTTCCTCGGTGACATCAGGCAGCAGGGTAGCGGGATTGAGAATAGCTGGAGGAGCAAACTGGATTCTTTCATTCAGCAACAGAATCTGATAATGAACCATCCGGGCATTGGACAGCCATCTGTCTGGAGGCTGTCGGATAATGCTCTCTAAGGCATGGGGAGCTATGACAGTTAATTGTTGTCCCATAGTTAGTTTATCAGCATCTTTCACCAAGGTGGCAATGGCAGCTATTGATTTTAAGCAGACAGGCCACCCCTGTGCTACTGGGTCCAGTTTCTTTGACAGGTAGGCCACTGGCCTTTTCCAAGGTCCCAAAGTTTGGGTTAACACTCCTTTTGCAATTCCCCTTTTCTCATCAACAAACAGGGTAAAGGGCTTAGTTAGATCAGGTAGACTGAGAGCTGGAGCAGACAACAAGGCCTGCTTGATGTTGTCAAAGGATTCTTGTTTTTGGGGTCGCCAAGTAAAGGGGGCGCCTTCCTTAGTCAGAGGGTAAAGGGGGGCTGCTAAATTGGCGAAACCAGGAATCCATAACCCACAGAACCCCGCAGTCCCCCAAAATTCTCTGACTTCCCGCGGAGTTTTTGGGATGGGAATCTGGGTCACAGTTCTCTTTTTGGCCTCTGTCAGCCTGCGTTGTCCATTTCTTAAATTATATCCCAGGTAGGTTACCTCTCTTTTACAGAGCTGTGCTTTCTTTGCTGAGGCTCGGTATCCTAGACGCGCCAATTCAGTCAGCAAGTTTTCAGTTCCCGATAGACAGTCTTCTTCTGTGGCTCCGGCCAGGAGCAGATCATCTACATATTGGAGGAGAGTTACCTGGGGGTTGTCAGCACGGAAAGGTGCAAGATCTCGGTGCAAGGCCTCATCAAATAGAGTAGGCGAATTTTTGAATCCTTGGAGTAACCGTGTCCAGGTCAATTGTCCCGCTTGACCATTCTCTGGGTCCCTCCACTCAAAGGGAAAAACAGGTTGACTGGCAGGATGTAATCTTAGGCAGAAGAAAGCATCTTTAAGGTCTAAAACAGTGTACCAGATTCGGTCAGGGGGGAGAGAACTTAATAGGTTATAAGGGTTAGGCACGGTGGGGTGAATGTCTTGCACTCGCTTATTAACTTCCCTAAGATCTTGTACAGGGTGAAAGTCTTTTGTGCCTGGCTTTTGGACTGGTAGGAGAGGGGTATTCCATGCTGAACAACAGGGCATCAAAATTCTTAATTCTAAGAGGCGCTGGATGTGGGGCCAGATCCCCCGTTGGGCCTCAAGGCTCATAGGATACTGCCGGACTGTGATCGGTTCAGAGTTTGCCTTTACTTCTATCAGGATTGGTGGAGCTTGGAGGGCTAGTCCCATCCCCGCAGTTTCAGCCCATGCCCGGGGAAATTTTGATAGCCAATGCTCTATGTTAGTTTCTGGTGAAGGTGGCACCTCATAAAGCCGATGTTCGTCCTCCAGCCATAGGGTTAGAAGGATAACTGGCCCCTTAGCTTCTAATTTGGGGCCCTCAGGGGAGAAAGTGATTTGGGCCCCCATCTTGGTGAGCAGATCTCGCCCGAGCAAAGGGGCTGGGCACTCGGGGATCACCAGAAAGGAATGAGTCACTTGGCCTATTCCTAAGTCTACTCTTCTTTTAGTAGTCCATGAATATTGTTGATGCCCTGTAGCTCCTATTACCCAGGATTTCTCTTCTTTTATATCTCCCAAGGGGTGCAATAAAACAGAGTGTTGTGCCCCAGTGTCAACTAGGAACTCCACAGGTTGCCCCTCCACAGTTAGGGTTACCCTGGGCTCGGGAGTTAGGGTTACTGGGCTCGGGGAGGGGCTCCGAGCCCCATCCCCCCTAGTTGTTTTCCTCTCCCAAGGCCAGTATCTTAGGAGGTCCTCCCTTTTTCTTAGGGCATTCTCTAGTCCAATGTCCATTTTCCTTGCAATACGCACATTGATCTTTGTCTAGTGGTCTTCTGTTGCCCAGGAACCCTGTCTGCCTTGGTTTATTTTCTCAACCCTTATAATTTTTTTCCTAATGACTGCAGCCAAGATCCTAGCCAAGTCCTTTTCCTTCCTTCTGTCTCTTTCCTTCTCTTGTTCCTCTCTTTCCTTTTCTCTCCGCTGTTCTCTTTCTTCCTCTGTCTCTCTCTTATGATACACCTTGTCGGCTTCCTTTACCAGATCTCGTACAGTATAATCTTGTAATCCCTCAATTCGCTGAAGCTTCTTTCTAATATCCTGAGCTGATTGTCCTATGAAAGCCATGGCTACGGAAGCTCTCTGTCCCTCCGATTCTGGGTCAAAGGGGGTATACCGCCGGAAAGCAACCATTAATCTTTCCAGGAATACTGAAGGCGGTTCCATCTTCCCTTGAGTAATCTTTCTTACCTTGTCCAAATTGGTCGGGGGTCTCGTCACTCCCTTGAGACCCGCCACTAGAGTCTGGCAATAGACTTTCAGTCACTCCCTACCTTCGGTGGTGTTGTAATCCCAATCCGGTCGGCCCAAGGGGAAAGCATCATCAATGAGGTTGGGCATCAGGGTGGGTCTCCCATCAGCCCCAGGAACATTGTTTCTGCTCTCTAAAACAATGCGCTCTCGTTCCTAAGTGGTAGACAGCGTCTGCAACAGCTGTTGGCAATCATCCCAGGTGGGCTGATGAGAAAACATAAGGGACTCCACAAGACCCGTCAATCTCTGTGGTTCCTCAGAAAAGGAAGGGTGGTTAGTCTTCCAGTTATACAGGTCAGAGGAGGAGAATGGCCAATAATGAAGCGGCTGCAGAGCCGCAGGTTGACCATTAGGACCCTCAGGGGGAGGTGGCCCATAAGCTCTCGGGGGAGGGCTACTGTGGAATCAGGTGCCCCAGGGGAAACTGCTCTCCGACTTCTTGTCCCCAAAGCAGGTCCGTGAATTTCCCCGGAAGGCGCTGAGGGCTCTGCAATAGGCTCGGGAGGGGCAGGGGCTTGTGGATAAGGGGGAGGAAGGGGTTCTGACCAGGTCGGGGGCCCCTCAATCTCTGGGTATATCCGTGGGCGAGGCTGGATTCCGGAAGCCCTTTCATCTTTGTCTGATGGGGCCTCCTTTAGAGAGAAAACTTGAGTGACAGGCCATTTCGTCGGCCGATGTACCCAAGGTTTTACCCAAGGTGGGGGGTTCAGGATGAGGTCTTGCCAGACCACAATGTAGGGTTGCTGGTCAGGATATCTTCCGAGTCCAGCCTAGAAAACAATATCTTTAATGAGCAATATTATTCCTGCATCAAAAGTGCCCCCTGATGGCCAGCCTACACCTAAAGATGGCCACTCAGAGGCACAATAAGTCTGCCAGGGTCTTTTCTTTATTAGTACAGATAAGTCTCTACTTCTGGCCCTAACTTCAGTCTAATGCTTCAAGGTCAAGTCCAAAGGTGTCGTCACAGTCTGTCCCATAATTAAAAAACAAGACAAGATTCCACAAATAACATACACACAGATACCGAATTAATCGCAGATTCAGAACCCCGAGGGGAGATTCAGACATCTCCGAAAATCCCCGTACCTGGGACGTCTCCCAGGTTGCACCCTATGGCCTTCCGGGCACGTCTACCGAAAATCCCCGTACCTGGGACGTCTCCCAGGTTGCACCCTGTGGCCTTCCGGGCACGTCTACCGGCCACTGTCAGACAGTCCTTACGGACTGCCGGAGGACTGTGAAACCGAAAGTGCACTATACAGAATACAGACCGACAACATTCAAAGCGGGGATCCCCTCTTACCTCCAACGTCATTCTCAGGAGTGAGGAGCAATCGCTAATCCCGGACGAGCCCCCAAATGTAAGATCCTCCCAGGGAGGAATCCCACCACTCTAAGTCCGGGACTCCACGATGCACCATAAACACCCGGGAGAGGCAATTCTTGATGCAAAACACAAGAGGTCTTTATTCCAGCGCGCTGGGGCTCAGCTCATAACCCTTGCAGGGGCAGAGGAGTTGAGCCCCGAAGCAGGGTAGAGACACAGTTTTTAAAGGAAGAAAACCCACAAACTATAGGGTAGGGGGAATTCCGAGAAAGTGGTCAATTATGGGAACATTCAGTTACAAAGGGTGGGGACTTCGGGGAAGTGGGACCATGGATTGTTCAAAGGGGTAGGGTCTGTTCCGCACCAGACGTTTATCTTGGTTCCTGCCTCTCAGGAATGTTTAAAGCGACCTTTTGACCTGTCATGGTTAGCTGACTCTGCTAGGGGTTGGGCTCTTAGAGCTTCTTAATACTTTTCCTAACAGAAGCAGCCCTCCCAGAAGTCCTAATGTTCAGTCAGATTTTAAAGCTGCTGTCTTTACTTCACACAATACACAGTCCATCATTCAGGACTGTTCTTTCCTTGAAAGACTGTATATCTTAACTGGAACTAAGATTGCACAAAAAATTGTTAAGTGAGGTTTTTTTTTTTTTTTTGAGTTTATTGGTACATTTAGGGATACAGTACAGTTACATTCATTGTTGGGATCATGTACCTTTACATGGCAAGTCTTGATTCTCATTTTTTTCCCCTTACCTCTGCCCTCCCTTCACCCCCTCCTCCCCTCCCCATCTACAAACACTTTATTTTCATCTTTTCATTCTCTCACTGAGTTTTAAAACATAGTTGATGGACAGTGCATTAAAAAATGAAAGTTTGGGCAGGGAATTTAGCTCAGTGGCTCAGCTGCCTGCCTCACAAGTGCAAGGTCCCAAGTTTGATACCCAGTACCCCAAAATAAATAAATAAATAAAAGTTTAAGGGCCAGGGATTTAGCCCAGTGGCATTGAGCCTGCCTTGTAAGTGCAAGGTCCTGAGTTAAATCCCCATTAGTGAAAAAAAAAAAAAAGTTTAGATATGAAAATACTGCAAATATTTTAGAATAAGTAAAAGAAGCAAAAACAACAACAAAAAAAAAGTGGACTCATCGCCCAACATTCTTCTTTTACAGATTTTTTTCAGTGAGAATTTTCACAAATTTCACACATTTTGTGCTGCTGCAAAGAGCAGCACAAAAAACTCCCTGCACCCAGCATACCAGTCATCTGACGAGCACGATGAAATGAAAATACAGTGTCTCAGCTGAGTCAGCAGCATTTCTCCTTTCCTGGTGGTCAGGATGCACCACAAAACTAGTAACATCTTAGAGTTGAGATCTCAAGTGTGTCCTCAGGGCACCTGGGCCTTTCCTCCAGCATTCATGCTCTTAGGAGAGAGCTTTTACCTGTCTTGTTGTACCGTGACGTTCTCACCAATGAAAAGTATCATGCAGTTTTCTATTTTAAACTTTGTTCCACATGTATCCCTCCATGGTTTGTGTCTTAGATTCTATAAATAGGAACTTCAATCTTGGAGAATACTTTTTTCTTGGTTGTCCTTACACCAGGGAAGAATCACCTAATTTCTACAGCTCCCCGGCAATTTTAATATTCTTTAGTATTTAATGTACATTTTCAAAGTACATCATTCATCCTAGGCCGTGCCCTGTATTCCTTGCTTATTGATTTATGTACCACCCAGGGAAGCTTTTAACATTTATGTTAAGCCAAACATAAGCAGGAAAGAAAACTTTCTGAAAATGATTTCATCAAGCCCAAAGAAACAACTCTGCCTGTATCTGTCAATGAATTCTACAGCAGCTGTAAATCAAGAATATGAACTATTGTCTCCTCACTGTGCTCTTGACAGAGGGAGATCACTTTTGTCCCTGCAGTGATTCTATGGTCCTTGGGCATGTGCGCCCTCACCTCAGGGAGGCTGCTCAGCTAGATAGCATAGGGGCCCCAGCTCTGGAGGAACCCATAGAGAAGAGCTATTAGTAATTTTTAAATGAGAGAACTGAGATTATTCCACCAATAGAATTAGAGGCTTTAGAGAAACAAAGAAAGTTGTGAAAAACATCCAGTAACATATAGTTATATTCTTGTTATTTATGAATCAACAGAGGAATGGGAGGGAAATTCCTCCCGAGTCTTTTTTTTTTTTTTTTTTTTTTT